CCTTCCCTGCCCCCATTCCGCATGGATTTTCTTCCTTTCCTTTTGCACATTCCACACGTCATGCATTTCTCTACCCCATACATTTATTATACCCAGCCTCTCCTTCCTTTCTGGAACACTATTCACCTCTGAAATCGTCCATCTTCTGCCCCTATCTACCTCCTCCTCTTACCCTTTCAAGCCCCAAGGGCTGGAAAACAATGATGCGCTTAAAACAAGGCAAACTCTCCTGACTCTTTATCCACCTTTCCCATTCTTTAGGCTGAAAGAACCGGGCCTCTTCCATAAGATAGCTTCTGTCATATGAATGAAAACAGTCCTGTAAAAGATCATGCTGAATCCAAATATGATAATAACAGGGGCCCGGGCAGATGAGCTAGAAAGTGAAGAAAAAGCCACTGATACCTAAAAGGAACTAAAGGATGAGAGGCAACCAAGCAGGGTGGAGCTCAAAGACCTAGAGAAGGTCCCCTTACAAAATCAAAGTTGACAGTTAATGGACATAATGGCCCTGACTGATGAAGGGGTTATATGCCCTGGAAGCCCACTAAATTGATTTCTTGGCCTGTTTATGTGCCTTCACAAACCATACTCCCCACCTCTCCCAGCCCCTTGCTCTCTTGTTACCTTCTGGTGCGGAGGTTAAAATTCTGGGTGAGAGGATAAGGGATAAAAGGAAATTAAGGTGACCAAGGAGAAAAGGTAGGCAGAAGGCAGGTTATGGGAACAAAGGTAAAGAAGCAAGGGAGGTCATGGGAGACAGGATCGCAAAAAAAAGGGGTGGGGGGTGAAGCAAAATGGGAAAATGAAAAAATATACAATGGCAAAATGAGGGAAGGGAGGAAATCAAGTCAGCAAGGAAGAGGTTTGTGGTGGGAAGCTTCTGGAGAGGCAAATGACACACGAGAGACCAGAGGTCCTGGTCGGGGAGACAGGCACATGGCAAAGGAGACAGTCAACAATGCTAGAAGTTCCAAGCTTCGCAGGTGAAGGTGGAAGAGGATGCTGTCCTGGCTGTGCTGAAAGGGTACCTGAGTCCTTTAAGGAGACACATCTGCCCCATCCTTCAGACTCTTTCCAGGCCCCTGACCAGTGACTGCCACTATCATGACTGATAAGCATGAAAAAAGTAGCCTCAAAAGGCCAGGGATATCATAAGGACTCTGAAGGAGAGGGCATGGAGTCCTAGACAGACAGACAGACAGACCAGTCAGGCAGCCAAGGCATGACACAAAGTGACAGGGACACACAGGAAGAGGATCACTCGGATAGGAAGAGTCACATGCGGAGACAGTGACACACAGACCCAGAGATGGATGGGTGAAGAGAATGAACGAGGGGGAAGAATGGCAAAATCAAGAGGCAGGGGACTCGTGGACACAGATCAGCGGGGCTACAAGCACATCCAGACCACGCGTGGTCGAGTGCTCAAAAATGACAGGACTACTGAGAGGGGGACACACAAGAGCAGAGCAGGTGGAGAGTTGGAGGGCCGGGAGAGACACACTTCACCTTGAGTGGAGCAGTGGCCTCCCCTCACCTACTCGCACCTTTCCAAAAAAAAAAAAAAAAAAAAAAAGCTCAACTTCAGGCAAAACGAAGATCGAAGATTGAGTATCCACGTCCGCTTCCACCCACCCTCGGCCCCAGCATGCTAGCCCATCCGCCAGTCCGCCCCCTGCCGAGGTTTCCGATCCCGCAGCCGGCTGGGGGCAGCCGAGACCCAGGCCCCTCCCGGCTGACAGCTCCGAGCCCGCAACTCACCCTGCCTCCCCTTCCCTCCGGGACCCCCGCTCCCCGCACAGCTCGGCGCGGTCCGTCTAGGCTCTCGATACCCTCCGTCTGTCCAGCTGGCTCCTGGTCCAGCCTCGATGCCTTTTCCTTTCGCCGTCTCTCCCTCCACCCCTGCATCTTTCTCCCCCACCCTATCCTCCCTCGCACACCCCCTCCCCCCCACCGCTACCTCTCCTTCTCCCCAGGCTCTCGGTCTGTCTGTCCGTCCGTCCCTGTCCCCTCCCCCAGCCCCTTCCCCGTCCCTCTCCGTGCCCTCCAGCGGCAGTCTCCGAGCGCCTCCTCTCCCCTCCGTCTCCAGCTTCCAAAGAGCAAGGAAAGGAAGAAGAGAGAGAGGGAGAGGAGAAAAAAAAAACCAACCCAGCAGCATCGGAAATCGATGCACTTACACCTCAGCTGGAAGCAGGGACGGGAGTCGAACCGCGGCCGCCGAGCAGCGCGAGGCGGGGAGGGGAGGGGGCGGCTCTTGGAAGGGACTTCTCCGATGTGTTGATTCCTTTTTTTTTCCCCTCCTCCTCCCTCCCTCCAGCGCTCACTCCGGGGCGTCAGGGACGGAGATGGAAAAAATAAATAAATAAATTCACGGCGGTGAGGGAAGTGAAGGAAAATAATCAATGCTATTTGGCTGCGGCTGAAGTGTTTTCCCGGCTTCGTGAGGGGGTTTCCATTGATTCACCCTGGGCACTCGCTCTCTCCCTGCCTCCTCCTCCTCGCCCTCCTCCTCCTCCTCCTCCTCGCCCTCCTCCTCCTCCTCCTCCTCCTCCTCCTCCTCCTCGCCCTCACTCCTCCGCCTCATTCACTGGCTGGAGCCGAGGCGTCCTACACAATGGAATAATCAATACCCAGGCGCCCGGGGCGGCCCCACTGAGCAGGTGCAGCGTCCCGCCCGCCGCGGTGCGTGCCGGGAGTTGTAGTCCGTCCCTGCTCCCACCCGCCTGCCAGCACACGCTGCGTGAGCTCGCGGGACCGAGGACCGAGGGCAGGCCTGCCCGAGGGCGGGGCCCCCTTGCTCACTGTGGCGCCGGGTCCAAGCTAGTGCTTGCAAAGGTGCAGGCGCTTTTAAACTCCTTCTCGTGTTCTCTTTCTCTCCCTCCTGCCTACAGAAACTATGCATGTGTTTTGTTGTTTGTTTTAAAGCGGCCATAGAATAAGCATGGGCTTCTACCAGCTTTCCAGAGCGCCCCAGGCCCACCTTTCTTTTCCATTCCTTTCTTCCTGCCTTACCAGTCCCCCTCCTTTCCAGTTGGGTACTAGAACCTTCTCTTCCACAGCAGTTACTCGAAAGTCTCCAAGAGCTTCTGTTCCCTCCACCCAGAGTTGGGTCGGGAAAGGGAGCTTCCGGCCCCTGGGCCTCATCCTCAGGTTATTAAGCTCTCTTATAGTCTAATAATAGCTGTACAGATTTATTGAGTACACAGAACAGTTCCAAGCACTTTCGTGTTCATTAATTTACTTAATCCTCACAAGCTAGTCCCATTTTACAGTTGAGGAAATCAGGCCACAAAAAAGTTAATTAAGTGGCCCAAAGTCACATGGCCAATAAGTAACAGTGCCAGGATTCAAACCTTGATGGTCTGACTCCAGGGCTCACAATAGCTGCTATAGCCTATTTCTCTTAAAAGTAAAATAATAGGGGCGCCTGGGTGGCTCAGTGGGTTAGGCTTCTGCCTTTGGCTCAGGTCATGATCTTAGGGTCCTGGGATTGAGCCCCCATTGGCATCGGGCTCTTGGCTCAGCGGAGAGCCTGCTTCCCTCTCTTTCTCTCTGCCTGCCTCTCTGCCCACTTGTGATCTCTGTCAAATAAATTTAAAAAATCTTTAAAAAAGTAAAATAATAATAATAATAATAAAGGAAAAGAAAAGGAAGGAAAGTAAGAAAGGAGAGAAAAGAAAAAAAAAAACCACCTTGGAGCTCACAGGAAAAGAGGAAGATTTTGAGTCTCTATGATGTGACCATTTATCACTGAATCCCCACCCATAACTGTGGCAATCCACTTTTTACCAAGAAGAGAGGTCTGAGAGGTTTAGTGAGGTGGAGTAGCGTGCCCAAGACCAAACACGTGGAAATCAAAGCTGAAGTCAACCCCAGGTCTATCTGGTTCCTGAGTCTGGTCTTTCCTTTCAGTTAATCTGCTGCCTCTGCCCCACTGAATAGCACTTTGTAACTCAGGGAAGAGGACCTTATAATTCAGAGAAAGAGGCTTTTTCCCCTAGGAAAGAAAACTGAAAATCCTTGAAGGATGGATGAAAAGTATGCCAGTGATTGGAACTAGGGGCTGGGGGCCCTCCCCTCCCTGACTACTGGTGCCTGTTATGGGGTGGAGGAGGGATGCATCCAAGACATCCCAAGTTCAAGATGTGTCTGCCCCACAGTACTTCCCACAGGTCATTTGTTTCCAGAAACATCCTGGGAAGATGACAGATGTTGAGAACCTGGCACTTTTCACTCATCATAGGAGTTGAAAAGAGGCACTGTTCCTCAGCAAGGTACCGCACCCAGAGGGTCAGACACACGGTCTCCAGGTAATCATAGTCCTCAGAGAGAGTAAGAAGGGCCTCTTCTCTATTTTGTCTCCCAAAACACTCAAAGGGCCACCCCCACATCTTCCTGTATTTTAGGCGAATGTGAGAGTTTCTCCCACTCCAGACAAAGCCTGCTCAGGGGCCCCTGGCAACTCAGGGACAAATTCCTCAGGCTGGCACTCAAAGCCATTTCCAACCTGGCCTTCAACTGTATTTCTAGCCTCATCTCCTTCTTACACACTGGCCAGGTGCTCTCTAGCTTCTTGGTCTTTGCTCATGCTTTTCCTGTCTCCATCTGGGTCTCTGTTGAAATCCCCTTATGTCTTTAGTTCCTATCCAAAATTTCGTTCCTTCTCTGACAGAAGGTTTTCAACCTTGCCCTAAACACTCAATGCAGAACATATTATCACCTCTAAAATTCCCGAGTAGTTAAACTGGTCTTAGTTATCCCCCTTTTCAGCCCATTGTCACTGGCTTGTATTTTGTGGGTCACCATTACAGTCAATAAAATCTCTCTTGGATAGCGTTTGGGTTAGTGGCTTGGATTTCAGGCCTATTTGTCTAGGAAGTGCCTGCACCATCCCTGCTCAACTTCAGGTTGAGTCCCGCGGGCAGTAGCCGAAGCTTTCCTATCACCATAGCGACGGGTGGGGCGAGGAAGCAAAAATCTCCCTTTGGAACTACAACTCCCATCATGCATCCGGACCCCGGGGTATCGGGCTCAGCCTGCGGCCTGAGACCGGGAGACCCCCGGGAGTCGGGAGGGGTCGGGCAGGAGGAGCAGAGCGCGGGGGTACTTCTGCGTTCCCGGTCCTGCGCGGAGGTCGTGGACCCCCTATTACGTAGCAGGTCTCTCGCCCGGCCTGTCCTCGGCATCGCCACATCGGGCCTAATATGGCCGCTCGTGCTGGGACCGGCTAGGTGCACAGAAATCCGGCCCCAGGTCCGAGACCAGGGACTGCTCCCGGCATTCCTCGCGGGCTTGGCGTGGGCTCCCCTCACCCATCTCCAGGTCCAGCGAGTGGGAGCTCCTCGGACTTTGAGGTGAGACCCGAGGCTCCGCTGGCTTGGCCGGTGCTGTGGCGAAGGGCGGGGTCGTTGCGGGAAGTGAGCCGCTGGCCACCCGGGGTAGGGGTAGCAAGGTATAGAGGGCGAGTATTGAAAGGAGGACACCCACTACAGTTTTCTAGGGAGCCCTTTGGATTGAGGACATCACCGAAGGTGTAAGGGATTACCTGGAGATCTGCCACTGTTGCAGAACCTTAAGACATCAGAGATAGACCAGGGCCATCCATCTCTGAGGCAGGGAGAGAGAGCTGTGGCCCCAACACAGAGCTCGGTGACAGCGTGTGCCTCATAAATTCTTCCCAGGTAGAGGGTGGTTTGCTGAATTGTCACCCTGCAAGGTTGAGCACCCTTGGGAGCTCAGCAAATGTTTATTGATTTACTGATTGCAGGTAGCATGGCCCAGCCATTGATTGAGGTGGAGCGAAAGTTTGTTCCTGGCCCTGACACAGAGGAGCGGCTGCAGGAGTTGGGGGGCACCCTGGAGCACCAGGTCACCTTCCGGGACAGCTACTATGACACCCCTGAGCTGAACCTCATGCGGTCTGACTACTGGCTGCGACAGAGAGAGGGTAGTGGGTGGGAGCTCAAATATTCTGGAGCAGCTGTTGTCTCAGGACCTCACACTGAGTTTATGGAACTCACAGTTGAGCCCGCAATTGTGGCTCAGCTCTGTGAGGTGCTGGGAGCTGACGTCCTGGAGTCTGGAAGTGTGGCTGCTGTGCTGGGCCCACTGGGGCTGCAGGAAGTAGCTAGTTTTGTGACCAAGCGTAGTGCCTGGAAGCTGGTGCTATCCCCAGCTGAAGAGGAGCTTTCGCTCACGGTGGATCTGGATACAGCCGACTTTGGCTATGCTGTGGGTGAGGTAGAGGCCCTGGTGCACGAGAAGGCTGAGGTCCCAGCTGCCCTAGAGAAGATCCACAGCCTCAGCAGCATGCTTGGTGAGGGAGATGTGCCCCTCTGTCATTTCCTTGCCTTCCCTACCACTCTTTTGGATGTATCCACTGAAATCAGCCAGAGGAGAGGGTCTTGGGGTTATTTCTGTAACAGGGATCGTCTTGGCCATTTTTTGGAGGACAGTTTTCTTTTACAGAAGCTGTCTAACCTGGATTGGATCCTTCCTTGTCTCTAATCTCCCCCAATCCTTGCCTCATTTAGTTCTCACACCACCGGCTGCTCCAAGTTTGCATTCGTCCTCTGCTTGAATCCTTCCATCCATCCTTTCTTCCCCCAAATCCTGTTTTCTTCTTTTTTATAGCTACCTAGATCCTCATTTAATTTGTCCCATTGGCTTTGGTTAAAAAGGCAAGAACGCTGTACTTATGTGACAGACAACAGGAGAAGCCGTGGCAGGTTTCTTTTTCTGTAGACAGTTCATCCACAGAAGTATGGGATTGTGCATTCCATGAGGCCTTCAAGCGGTGGAATGCTGCTCTCGCTTTCTCAGCAAACATACACTGAGTTGAGTTTCCTGCTATAAGCCCAGCATGCTGCCAGGCTCTAACAATAAGATACTGACTTATGGCGACTCCATACCACATAGAGGCTAGAATACTATGCGAATCTCACCCCATGGTTGTTGCTGCTTCTCTTTCTACATCCCTGTTTCTCTGTGTGCATCTCTGCTTGTGCTTCATTATCAACCTAACGAGCTTCAGCCTGCCTGCATGAGCTTTCATCTTGACTGGGGGCCAGGAGCAGTAACTGAAAAGAGTAGATACAGAGGCACCCTCTGTCTTCATGGCATCTGAGCACCTCTTCATTTCTCCTTGCCTGAGGAGAGGCTCACGCTTGGCTTCCCAGCTTCACTCCTACCCGAAGTGGCCCCTGTAGGCCCCACTGGCAAGGCCAGTCAGGGTGTGCGCTGGTGGGTCATGGAAACTGCTCGGATGGCCTTCAGAATCCCAGTGCTGCCTTGGAAACAACTTTGAGGTCTGGCTAGGAGGGCAGGGAGTGGAATCAAAGCATTTACAGCTCTGTCTGGTTCTCTCTTCTCATTTCTCCTTTTGCCTGCAGGTGTGCCTGCACAGGAGACAGCACCTCCTAAGGTGATGGTATACCTCCAGCGCTTCCGGCCTCAGGACTATCAGCACCTGCTGGAAGTATACAGCCTCAGAGAGAAACCACAGAGGACTAAATCTGACAGCAGCTTGGGCTAGGCTGTCACTTCTTCAACAAGGAAGAGAACTCTGGGTCTAACAGGGTTCTTTCCTGGGCAGCCTGTGCCTCTTCCCCAGGCCTCCTTCCCACAGTGACTCCTCTCTCTCTAGCTCTGCCTGTTCTTTACCTTACCCTCAGCTAGCCTTCCATGAGCCCTCCCTGGCTGCCTCTTCTCCCTCATCCGTCAGATGCAATCTGTGGGCCGCCCCTCTCCCCTGGCCGCTAAGCAGCCTCCATTGATTTCCGCTCGTGTTTATAGGATTTCCACTTAGCCGTGATCAGTAGTTAAGCACAGGAAAATCCCTTGCCACCCCCCCTCCCTTGGTCGATGCCATTGATTCTGCCAGCGGCTCCTAAACTGCCTTACAGCTGAGTTAGAGATGAGGGGAGGCAGCAGGGATTTCCCTGCCTTGGGGTGTGGGGAAGAGCAGCAGGTTGGGGAAGTAGGTGGGAATCCCTGTTAGAAATCTGGAAGTTCTGGGGCACCTGGGTGGCTCAGTTGTTAAGTGTCTGCCTTCAGCTCAGGTCATGATCCTGGGGTTCTGGAATCGAGTCCTGCATTGGGCTCCCTACTCATTGGGAAGCCTGCTTCTCCCTCTCCCACTCTCCCTACTTGTGTTCCCTCTCTCCCTGTGTCTCTGTCAAATAAAAATAAAATCTTAAAAAAAAAAAAAATCTGGAAGTTCTGTTTCATTTTGCTGCTGTGCCCTACTCTGGACAGATTGTAGAGTGCCTCCTGTGGAAGTTTAGGGGCAAATTTGCTCCCCAACCTGGAGAGGGTAGAAAGAGCCCTTCTTTGTTGAAACAGGTTCCTAAGGCTCAAGGAAAGATACAAACTTCCTGGATAAGAAGACTCTTCCCTTGCTATGATTTGTAAATGTGTTCTATCTCAACTGTACCCAAATATGGCTTTTCCCCTCAGGATTTATTGGACTTTCATTATTTGTGGGAAGTAAGGGGACAGCACCCCCCACCCCACCCCGTTTTTTGCAGAGGCAAATGCAGGACCAGAGCGCCACCTGCTGGTCGCTGGCAGGTAGAGGCGCCAAGTGGCTGAGACCCTGGGGTGTTGGGACACAGGAGGATTTCAGACTGCATGGAGGGTGTTACTGCCATGTCTCCACGGGCAAGTTGTTCACCTCAAAGATCTCCTGAACGGACTGGCCAAAGTGGTTGTAGGTGAGGCGCAGCTTCAGCCTCAAGGGGGCCTAGGAATATGAGAGTGGAGACCAGGGTTAGCATCTGTGATTTCAGTCCCAGGGTCTTATCAACAGGGGGTGGGGTGGGTGCTCCTGAGCTCACCTTGTTAGGATTGAGGATTCTGAGGAGCTGGGTCACGGGAAGGCCACCCTGAGCTGGAACTGTGTCCCCACTGGGGGCCTGGAGCTGCAGCTGGAAACTCTGAACACAGGAGGTTGGGCAGAGCACAGTAAGGCAGATAGCTGGGCTCAGGCAACCCCTCCACACCCAACAGTTTCAAACCCTCTTCCCATAACTCCCCAAGTGCTTGTCTCTGCATTCCCTTCCTGTCTCATTCTTCCTCCCATCCACCTCCCCTACTTCGCCTTTTTTCCTGGAGTGCCCAGGCCACCTCAAATCCTGGTCTTCTACAAACCTTGGGCACAGCAGCCTGGCAGACGAAGTGGGTGACATCAGCCCCTGAGGTGTTGATGGCAGTGACTGTGATTAAGAGCAAAGCAGGGGTTCCAGGGGGTCGAACAAAAGACAGATTCAGCTGCAGTCCTTCACGCTCAAACACTTTGAGATTTGGGATGGAAGCTGGAGTGTGGAAAAAGCAGCAGCTCAGTGTATGGGGAAGATAACAAGCTCATTCATTCATTCAACAGAAATTAAGTGAGTGCCCACTGGGTTCAAGGCAGTGCTGGAGAAGCCAGGTACAAAGTGGACAAGAAGATGAAGTCCCTATTCTGAGCTTATAGTCTAGTGGGCAGGGAAAAACAATAAACAAGAAAACAACTAAGATAATCACAGACTATTTGGTGCTATGAAGAAAATAAACGACATCAGAGTAACTGGGAGGAATAACTTAAATAAGGGCACCTGGGTGGCTCAGTCAGTTAAGCAACTTGCCTACAGCTTGGGTTGTGATCTCAGGGTCCTGGGATCAAACCCCATATCGGGTTCCCTGCTCAGCAGGGAGTCTGCTTCTCTCTCTCCCTCTGCCCCTTCTCCTGTTCATGCGCTCTCCATCTCAAATAAATAAATAAATAAATAAAAAGAGTGGCAGGGGAAGGCATCTGACATTTTAGCTGAGGCCTGAAGAATGAGAATGAGCCAGTCATCTGACATGCTGGGCAAGAATATTCCATGGAGGGACGCCTGGGTGGCTCAGTTGGTTAAGCATCTGCCTTTGGCTCAGGTCATGATCCCAGGGTCCTGGGATCGAGCCCTGCATTGAGCTCTCAGCAGGGAGTCTGCTTCTCCCTCTGCCCCTCAGCCCACTAGTGCTCTCTAGGTCTCTCTCTCAAATAAAGTAAAAAAAAAAAAAAAAAAAAAAGATCATTCCATGTGAAAGGAGCACAAGTTTACCAAGGGCTTCAGGTAAGAGGGTCTGAGGAGCTGAGAGGGCCATGGAGCCGGGAGTGGGGAGTATAGGAGACGGACTGGGAGGCAGCTGGGCCTCATGGGCTAGGGTATGAAGTATCGAACAAAGACAAGGCATTGAGGGGTATCCAGGAGGGAACTGGCATGAGCTAATGAAGCCTTTTATCTATCAAGATGGGGAAGGGATGAGAGGTTCACAGCACGGAGGAGGGCATGTGGACTTCAGTCCTTGGCAAAAAAGGAGAAACAGCCCATTTCCACCCCTCCTTTTCTTTCTTTCTTTCTTTCTTTTTTTTTTTAAGATTTTTTTTTTAAGATTTGTGACAGAGATCACAAATAGGCAGAGAGTCAGGCAGAGAGAGAGGAGGAAGCAGGCTCCCCACTGAGCAGAGAGCCCGATGCAGGGCTTGATCCCAGGACCCTGGGATCAAGACCTGAGCCAAAGGCAGAGGCTTAACCCACTGAGCCACCCAGGAGCCCCATACCCCTACTTTTCTTAAGATGTCTCCTGTCTCCCCTTTACTGAGGCTTACCCGGGGCTGGAGACACACAGGGAAGGTCAAGGAGGTATACTAAAGAGCCTTCTGAGGAGGGTTCCAGAGGAGGTGGGGGCTGGGCAGCCCCAGAAGTGCCATCCAGGAGATCTAACAGATCCAAGAGCTTGGAGGCCTGCGGGAAAGGGCAGAAGGAGCAGGGCTAGGTGTGGAAGTCTGACCAAGTCCTCTTCCCCCAGGGGCTTCCAGCCTCCACCTGCGGCTCTGTGGGGACAAGGGCTGCTTCCGAATGCTGGGCTTCTTTGCTTTCCTTTGCTTCCTCATCCTGGGTACCACCTCGCTCCACAAGAGGAATCTTTTCCAGGATGGCAGCCCTGAGAGGATGGAATATAGGTGTGTCCCTCTGGCTGGACCGTGGGCTTTTCATAAGCAGCATGTGGGAGGACAGGTAAGACTGTGCTGAGCCCCGGGTGCGTGGTGGGTCAGAGTGCCTCCCTGATGTCCTAAGCTGGCACACTGCCGCTGGTTTTCGGATGAGCATGGAGGGCTGGGAGCCACCTTGGCTTCAAGGAACTATGGATGGGAGGCTCTGACTATGGAGGAGGAAGACCACAGGGGACGACAAAACCCTTGTACCCAGAAAGGGGTACCGGGAGAAGTGGCGTGGGGAGAGGGAAGGGGTTGGGTCCTACGCTGTGGCACAGGGACAGTCGCACCTCATGTAGTCATACTTCTGGAAGAGTGCGTTGTACTCGACAGCCCGCTGCTGCAGCTCCACATCCAGGCAGCTCCCGTAGACAGACACCACCTGGCGGATGCGGCTGGGCCACAGGGTGTGTGTGGGTGGGCGGCCCTGCCCCCCAACTCCAGGATGTGACATGGAAGGGAAAGGCCCCACAGAGCAGGAGGACCCCCGCAATACCTGGCTCATAAGGAAGAACCTACGGACTGGGGGACCTGGGGTGTGTGCCTGGAGAGAAACTCTGAAACTGCTGGGCATGGTGAAGGGAATCTATTACTGGAGGCACCAAGAAGAGGGGCCAGGACCCTTTCTTACTTGTTGTCCCCACGGAGCCGGGTGCTGAGCTTCATGAGGGCTGTCAGTGCATAGCCTCTGGTGGCTGGCAGGGACATATGGGACTGCAGCACCTTCTCCAACAGTGCCAACACCTCCTCTTCCTCCACCTTCGCAGGAACAAAGGCCGTAACCGTGGGGCACCTTGTCTCTCCTGCCAAGGCCCTCCTCAGTGTACCTCCGATATTGGCCTCACCTGAAAGGGCTCGGTTTCCTCACAGCTCCCCTCCAGCAGGAGGTCCCCATATTCTCCAATGCACCAGGCTGCCACTTGCACCAGTGGTTGCTGCGTGGGAGAAGAATGATGCTAAGTCAGGTTCTGGGTCCCCTCCCCACTTCCACCACAGTGTCATGACCTTATGCAGTGCAGAGATTGTGGGGTTTGGAGAGGTGGGGAAGGGAAATGTCTCCCATTGAAACAGTTACATAAGAGTTTGTCCACTCTCCTGAGCAACCCAGCTCTGTCCTGGCTCTTGGAGGTCTTCTGCCCTCTGGTGGCCAAGCATCAGAATTACATGGCCTCACCAAAAGGAGCTCAGCAAGAGCCAAGCAAGAGGGTCCCTGCTCTGAGGAAGAGATACGTGGTTTCTGCCCATACTACTTGAGTAATATGGACATGGGAGATAGATAGTGGCTGGCTTCTGTTAATCCACTCAGCATTCAAGGCAGTGGAAACCTGATACACACGGAACGAGCTCGATCTCATTTGATCCTCAACACAGCTCTGAGAGGTAGGCAGGGTAGAGAGTTGAGTACACAGAGCGTTAAGGAGACTTAAATCAGTCATCTGTGGCTGCAGAGCCAGGACAGAAGTTCAGGTATTCTAACTAAAAACAGGGCTCTGTCCTTGGATGTCTCTGCTGAGTAGGTGGCTGTGACCTCCAGGGAAAAGCAGCTGGGCATCAGCTGTAGGGAGCTGGTGGCTCAGGAAGGGCCAGGAGGCTCGGGCAGCCCTGGGTCTGGCGGTGCGAACAGTACTTGGCATATGTCCTCTGCCAGGGCACTGTAGAGGCGGCGCACGGAGTAGGCATGGAGCTCCTGGGCACCCCCAATCAGCTGGGTCAGGTTGGCCACTGCATCATCCCGTACATGGGTGCCTGCCTGGAGGGGATGAATGAGGCCCAGGGTTCAGGGCAGTGAACCCTGCCCACTCCCTCCCAGCTCTTAGATCAGTCCCTGCCTCACCGTTGTCAGCACACGCAGGATGGTATCTATATGCCACCGCTTGGTTGGGGCAAACCTAGGGGACATAGGCCTCTTCAGCCCTCATATTGACCCTCCCCAGATTCTATCATCTCTGCCTCCTGGGCACCTGTCTCCTCACCTCTCTGCTGCCAGCAGGATGCCTGAGGCACAGTCGGCCCGCAGATCAGGGGGGCAGGATTCCAGAAAGCTCTGCAGCTCTTGCGTCATGGCTCGCACATTGGAGCTATTCACCAGAGCCAGACTCAGTTCCAGGGCCCGCCTGGCAGGAGAAAGAGGTTGTTGATACAGGGTAGCCAGGTCACCCTGAGCTATGCCTCAGGCCCTCCCTTCCCCAGGCACCTGTCTCCTTAATTCCTCTACTTCAGTGGCTCTGACCTGGTCCAGGTCTTGGCTACCAGGGACTGGGCCTTCTGCCCTGCCCTCTTATTGCTCCGTCCTACTCACCGGCTAAGGGAGGCGTCAGGTTCCCGCAGACACTCCACCACAGTGGGCCGGTGCCGCTGCACAGCACTATGGTCAGACTGCACCACACGCAGCAACGACGTCAGCGCCACATACCTGCCAGAGTGGGAGAGGGCCCATCACACCATGCTCCTCAGCCCCCTCCCTGCCCCATCCTGCTCTGAGTCCTGGAATAAGAGGCATATAAATCAGGAGGCACTGGAAGGAGGAGGGCTGAGGGCCAGGGGCTCAGTGGCACAGGCTGGCCAGACACCCGGGACGATTACCTAATGTTCTTGTCACTGTTGAGCAGAAAGCGGCCGAGAATGTTGACAGCCAGGACCTATGGGAGGCAAAGGTTGAGGACAGTCAGGGAAGGAACAACATGCTCATGAAGGAGCGCGGGCAGTAGGGCAGAGGATCGTGGGTGTGGAGGAGAAACCAGTGAGTAGGACCTGTCTGCCTGGCTGGGGTTGGTGGGTGGGGCCGCAGTGGGAGAGGCATATGGGGTGATACCCGGAGGCCGGCTACAGAGCGGATGTCCATGATGGTCAGCACTGTCTCAAATAGGACTGCGTTGCCCGCATTTCGGCTGGTGTCTGTGTTAGTGGCCACCTGAGTAGATGAGAGAGAAAATCCAACTAGAAGGGGCTCTGTCCTCTCCTCAGGTCTCTGGAAGGTACCCACCATGTCATCCCTTCATTATCTAACAAAGTTCCCCGAACCCCCACGATGTGCTGGGGGGTACCACTCTGAGACAGACTGTGTCCCCATCCTCACAGAGATCATAGTCTGCAGGGAAATGGCAACGTGATTATATGGCTACCATGGGGGTGGATGATCATGTGAGGGATGCCTGGGGCCAGTACGATCTCAGAGCCACACCCCTAAGCAAAGCTCACTCTCCAGACCCCCACCTGGGCCAGCAAGTCATTCATTGTCTCACTGCTTTCTTCATGGTTCCGGCCCAGGATCCGAAGCAGACGAAGTATCTGGACCTGAGATGGGTTAAAGATCGAAAGGTGGAGGGGTTCAAAGGGTTAAGAGTCGGGCTGAAGAGAAGAATCCAGCACTGAAGAAAGTATTGTGAGGGGCCTGGCTGGTTTCCTAGATCTTCCCTGCCCCTTCCCCTGCCCGGGTCCCTTGGGTCCTGGGAGATCAGAGGCACACGAAGCCAGGGGATTTGGAGATGGGCATTTTGTTGTTGTTGTTGTTACCAAACTGGATTTCTGATCTTTAGGCATCCCCCACTTCCCAGACTGGTCTTGGAATTACCTGTGCAATCCTGTGCTTGCCACCCTCCTGAGACACTCATTGACCCAGAATGTTCTCCGGGAGGTGGCCTCGAGCCACTGGGTTACTGCTAAGCCCTTTGCTCAAGGGACACAGCAGGACAGGGTCAGCCCACCTGCAGAAAGGGGTCGCTGACTCCAGATATACTGTGCTCTGCGGAGTATCCTGACGTCACCAGAGTCCAGAGGATCTGCACCAGCTGGGGCACCACCTGGAGGGAGGGCACAGCCTTACTGGGCATTCTGCCTAATCCTCTCAACCTTCAACCCCATTCCAACCCCATGGCCCCTCTTTTCCTGGCCCAGGGGCGCCCCTTCCACCAGCCCACCTTTCGAAAGTGCTTGAGGGCTGCAGGGCTTCGTTCACAGAGCTCCGTGATCAGCGTGATGGTGCCCAGCAGGACGCCTGGTGTTGAGGGGGGTAGTGAATGGTGGGCCAGGGGCACAGGAGAGTCTACTGCGTGTGTGTGTTCATGTGCATATGCTACCCTGCCCCTGGGGGCTGGTGTTCCCGTCCCATTTTTTCACTTCTGTCCACACCCAGAAGTAAGGCAGGGGATGGGGAACCCCATGGCCTTACCGTGGTGGCGTTCATGAAGCAGTTGGGCACAGGGTGGGAGGAAGATGTTGGAGAGCTCGGGGACCTTCCGGATCATGTGCACGGCGGTCAGAACAGCCTGCAGAGATCAAGGGGCTCAGAAAGGGGCAGGGGGTGCCAGGATGGACCTAACCACCTTTAACATGTGGCAAATAGAACAGTTTCCTGTGCCTAGAGTCCTGCCATCTCACCTTCTTGCGCACATAGGGGCCTGGCTGCAGGAGCAGTTTCTCCACCTCAGTGGCCAGGTCCCGGCACATGTCAGCAGAGCCCACAGTGCTCAGAGTGCACAGGGCCAGGCCTTGTACTGCCTGAATCCCCTGGCTCAGGTCACTGCAGAGTCGGGAGGGTGGTCAGTCAAGGTCGGAGAAATCCATCCTTCCCAGTACCTGCATCAGGCAGCCCCCTGGGATTTCCCAGTTCCCCACTCTCCCAGCTCCCTGATTCCAAGTGCTTCCCAGAACCCTCTCACTTCTTGATGCTGTTGGTAATGAGCAGGTGGGCATCCTGCCTCTCATCCAGCAGAAGCATGGCCCCCAGGTAGCCCACCCTCTTGTCTGTGAATCTGGGGGAGGCGATCAGTTTCAGGCACTCCATCTACAGGGAAGGGGGCAGACCAGGAAGGGGCAGGGGTGAAATTCGAGGCACTAACATCCCTTCTCTATCTTCTTTACCCCCAGATTAATTTACTGTAGCACCATTTCCCATCATCCTCCTTCAACCAAGGAAAAAGCTTAGGAAATTCAAAGTTAGTGGGTAGTTTCAAGGAACCAGGAGTCGAGGAGGATGGGAGAGAAAAGGAGGTGGCTTGAATGGGGCTGGCCAGAGAATGAAGGGTTCAGTCCAGCTTATGACCTACAGGGGTTATAATGGGGAAGGAGTTTAGCGGTGCATGCTGTGAGAAGGAAGGGCTCAGAAACTTTGTAGAATAAAAAAATCAGGGCACAGGTAGGTGAGGATGTCCAAAACCCTGCCCCTCAGCCTTCCTCATCAAACTCAGAAGGGAGGTGTCCCGGCCTGGTACCTGTCCAAAGTGGGCGGGGTAGCCCAACATGTGAACGTAGAGCAGTTTGGCAAGCTGGCGGTGCCTGTACAGAGGGTCCCCATCGCGGAAGGAGGCGCGGATGTGGGCGCACTCCTTCTGGATCACCTCCCGCTCCTGGGCCTGGGTCTTGGCCCCACGAATTTCCTCGATTAGATCTTGAAGCTTCAAGGAAGGCACCACCATCCTGAGGGGGCAGAGCCCGTTAATGGAGAGGGTTTTGAACCTCTCGGGCTGGGAGTGCCTGGCCTTCCAGCCCAGACTCGCCCTGTATCAAGATCCTGAAGGACCGGGACCCGCAGCTACCCTAAAACCGAGCCCACATTTACCTTTCCCCACATGGGTTTACCAAATTCCGCCCCCTCGTCACAGCGGGAGGAGAGCCCCACTACGCATGCGTCCCCGCCCCACCAAGCGCCCGTTCAGACGGAGCATGCGCCAGAACCCCGCCTATTCCCCAACACCCCACCATCCTCCGGCCCCACCTGGTTTCCCATCCCTAGCTCGTCCATTGCTTTCCTTCCGGGGTCCTGCGCTACCTCTTCCGCGGGATTCCCCCCCAAGGTCACACCTCAGGCGGCCTCAGCTTCACACCAGGACGCCACCCCCACCGACAGCCTCACCTGGCTGGTCTCAACTCAGCTCCTCTCCCCCCAGCGCTTCCTGGTACCGGGCCCGACGGGGGTTGGTCCTTCTCCTAGTCCTTCCCTCTTCCCGCCCCCGTCACGGGACCCCGCCCCCTCCTGGGCTGCCCGGCTGAGCCGTCTAGAATCCTCTGACCGCAGGCTTTGGAGTTGAGGGCAAGGAGCTCTTTGGGAGGCAAGACTGCATAGCAGACTTGGGATTCTCCCAGAGGCCTCTTTGTACATTCTCACCACCCGAAGAGCCTCAAGAGACCTTGGGTTTGAAGCCATCGCACCCCAAAGGAGATGACAATCCCCCCCCTTTTTTGAACTTTTTTATTAATATATTTTTTTTTTTTGTTAAATTTCTTTGTATTTTTTTTTTTTCCTGCAAGACTTGGTGTTGGCGGCACTGTTGTAGTTTAACTTCAATCCCAAATTCCATGAAATAGAAATCAGAAGTAAAGGTTTAGAGGGGAGGGAGGGAGGCAGGCCAAGGAGTAAACAGAGTTTGACTAGAAAAAAAGAAGAGGGTATGTGTGATGGGCATTCCCAGGCAAGGCCATTCCTTGAGGGAGGGGATTGGCAGGCAGCTCTCGTCTGCCTCATGCAGGGGAGGGAGGAAAGATCCCCTGGGGACCCTACAGAGGGGTCCCCCTCTTCCTAGGGCTTCCTGCCCCCAGGGGAAAGCTATTAACAGGGATCAGCCACAACCTCAAACAGGGCTCTCCACCCACCTCTCACCCTGCTTTGACTCCCACCTCTGCCCTGCCTGGAAAGTGTGTGAGAGATTGGCTTCCTTTGATCCCTCTTTCTGTTGTTTTCCCATTTCACAAGATTCGGATATGACGGGGGAAGGGATATAATCCACTTAGAGACTACTAAACTTGTTACAGCTTCTGCCGCTCTGTGAGTTCCTGTTATCTAGGCTGGTTGTGTTCCCCGAAATGCCCCTCCCACCCCCGCTCCACAACTGCCAGAGTTGGGGAGTGGGGTCCTAGCTCAAGTGCCTCTAACCCTCTGTGGCAGAAATATCTTCTTCAGGCCCCTTAGAAATCTAATCAAAGGCCACAGGTGAGTCCAGACCAACCAAATAAACTTTTAGGGGGAGAGAGGGGGGTGGGAGAGGTCAGTGGGTAGACATGACTGCATTGGACGATTTCTTTCCTTTACACATTGCTTTTGACAAGATATGCCACCCGGGGCATAGGGTGGGGGTTGGATGAGGGGCTGGCGGTTGAGGAAAGGAAGAGGGAGATCTTAGGGAGTCATTCTACTTTTTGTCTCCCTTATCTCCTTCAGGGAAGGATAAAGTTAGGCAAGAACCTAGCTCAGTGCTTGGAGGTGAGATAGGCTCCTCCAAGGTCATAGATGGAGGCTATACCTTCTCCAGCTCCTTCACTAGGCCTCGCAGGGACACCAGGCCCCTTGGGTCAGGGAGCCACAGCAGCTCAGCCAGTGCCTTGCCCAGTATACAGTTATCCCTTCTCCATTTTCTTCTTCCTTTCCACTCAGCTTCTAGGAGACTCCTCGGGACACCAAACCCCCACCCTCATTGAAGTTCAGGTCTAAAGAAAAGGCAGGGAAGACAGGGGGCAATGGTCTGACTTAGATTTGTGTGTCTCAGAGAAGAGAGCGACTCTGAGCAAGAAAAGCCCTTCATATGTAAACAATCTAGAGAGAGAGGTGGGGTGGGGGGGTGGGGGAGGGAGTGAAGAAGACAGAGACAGAGTCAGAATAAATGAGAGAATCGGAAAGGAAAGCTGGAAAGAAAAAGCCAAAGACAAAACCAAAGGGGGACAGAAAAGAAAGGGAAGGAAGAAGAGAAAGAAAGATAGGAGATAAAAACAACCAGGAGGAGGAAAAGAGAAAAAGGCAGGTCAAAGAAGTGAAGAGGCAGCAACCGAAGCCAGAACTAGGCTGGGCCGGAGCCTCAGGTGAGGAGCTGGGAGAACAGGAACGCCAGGCTGAGGTCCAGGAGGGCCACGGCTCCCACCACCAGGGGGTTGGCAGCTCCCTAGAGAGACAGTGGGGAAAGACAGTCTCAGTCCCTGAGGACCATATCCAGCGACAGGTCCCACCTTCCTGCCCTGGCAGAGATGGCAAAGCTGAAGGGTCCCAGGCACCTCTCCTCAAAGGTCAGAGCAGGGGCATCTCCAACCTTTTTCAGATTGCAAAAACACCTCTCTTCTCCCAGGCAGGGCCCCTCCTTCCCTCTGGCTCCCTCAAGTCAGGAACAGCCCTTTCTCCCCCTCCCTCCACTCCCCTCCCACTAGCATGTCACGTGGCCCAGGCAGAAGGTGCCTGGCCTTAGTAGCAGACGTTGGCAGCAGCAGTCGGTACTGCAGTAAAGCAGAGAGGGATGAAGGGGTGAGGATGTGGTTGCTAGGAAACAGGAGAAGGCCTGGAGTCCAATCAGAGTACAGGGTTCTGGGAAAACTCCACCCCTCCCAGTTTTCTGCCTCCTTTCCCATTTCCCTTCTTCCCAGGAGAGGGAGGGAGAGTCAGGGTAGGGAGGGAACAAGCTTTTCCTTTTTTATTTCTGGGCACCAAAGAGACAAAGTGTGGAGGTGGGGGTGGGGGTGGAGTAGGAAACCAAGAGCTGGAAATTATATGGAAGGAGAACAGTGAAAGATGCTTTGGCTCTCCCGTTCCTTATTGGTAACCTTGGGCAAATTACTTTAAGTGCTCTGGGCCTCAGTTCCCTCATCTGTCAAATGAGGGAGCTGGAGATGAGGGTCTCCAAGGTTGCTTGCAGCTCACAAATTCCCTATTTTTTTTTTTTTTTTTTTTTTTTTTGGTGGGATATGGTCCAAGAGTGTGCAGGAAGAAAGGAAGCGGAGTCCAAATCAGAGCCCCTGAAGGGATCAGAGAGGTCTGGAAATGATGAGAGGCAAGGCTTTGAGGAGAAAAGGGGCCACAAAGTGGGAACGGAGGGCAGCTCACCGGCTGGGCGGGCCTCTCGGTTGCAGCAGGCTCCTCAAGCTCTTCCGTCAGGCACCCGGCCTCGGGACCCCTCGAGGCTGGGTCCCTCAGGACCGGCATGGCCATGGGCTCAGGCTCTGAGCCCCCTGGGGCTCTCAGCTGGGGCAAGGGCTCTTCGTCTTCCCCTTCCTCCTCTCGAAGACTTCCGGAGCTGTCGCTGCAGCCTCCAAGAAGTGGGGAACCGTCTCTGGGTCCGGGCCCCTGCATCCCAGCCTCGTCCTCGGCCTCATAGCCAGCTAGTTCCTCTGACTGTTCACCAGGGCCCCCCCACTCCTCAGGCCAAGCTTTGGGGCTGGAGAAGGGACCCCGGTCCCCTCCAGGAGGCAGTGGGCTCCGGCGGGCAGGGGGTCGCCAGGGTTGGCGGGAGGAGGCAGGACTGCTGGGCAGTTCAGGGGAGCCCTCTGAGGGGGTCAGTCCATTCTCGTATACCCCAGGGCTGTCCTCATCCAAGGGTTCTGTGTCGGAGCCTTCTGAGTCCTGCCTGGGTCTGCGGCCTGTGGCAGGGATAGCTAAGAATCAGAGGGGCCTAATGGCCTTGGGCAGCAAAAGCTAGAGCTTTAGTTCACTGCCTGGGCACCTCCCAGGCTTACGGTCTCTCATAGCCAGACCCCAGGCCCCAGATCCCGAGTCCTCATTACCCTATTTTATAAATTCCCAGTGCCACTGCCCCAAACAACTGGGTCTGGCCCCCCACCCTCATCCCCTTGGATCCTCATACCTTGGATTTTTCCATCCCCAGTCCTCTGCAGGGACTTCCTCCCCTTCCCTTGCCCCTGAGCCCCTCCAGCTCCCCGGGCCACCCACACCTCACCTGGGGCCTCTAACATAGGTTGCAGGTCCTGGGCTATCAGTTTGGCCATTCGAGCTGCCTCCACAGCCTTCTCGGCGACACTGCTGGCTGCCACTGCCTTTAGAAGGGCATCTGCCGCCCTGCCGGGGTCCAGGGACAGGAACTTAGCAGACCTGCTCAGATGCTCCAGCCCCCTGGTCCACGTCCCCACCACATCATGTCCTCTGGATGGGAGCTCATCTCTGGAGTACTCAGTCTTGCTCACGCACTGCCTGCTGCTCCCCTCCCTGGCCTGGCAGGGCAGCAGGCCTCTGCTTTCCACCCATAGACCTGGGCTGTGCCTGCTCTCATCACACTCCCCTGCTCCTCTCACACCTGCCATCATCATGTCCTGTAGTAACACTTCCCTTCCTCCAGCCACAGCCACCGGCTGCCCTCCACTCCTTCCCAGGGATAGATGAGACCTCACGCTCTTAGCACACCTCTCTACAGTAGCACCTGCTTGGGTCTTCCCAGCAGCTTCCCCCTCCCTGCCCCCCTTGTTCT